TTCCCCAGAACTCTTTTTCCCCAGGGTCTCGTGTGCATCTCTCTCTATGGCTTGGTAAGCGCTAGAGACTTCTCTGCAACTCAGTCACTAGGAGGAGACTCTTCCCCTCTTCCAGAAGCTCAAAGCCAGGTCCTTGCTTGCATTGTCTGCGTAACCTGTTTACCACCCTTAGAAGAAGGGCAACAAGCGGTTATTCAATTGTTCATATACACTCTTCCCCACCCCACCCCTAGATAGGCTCTCCTCCCTATAACAGCCCTGGCTGTTCTGGAATTCACTCTGTAGACCAGGCTGGTCTTGAACCCACAGATCCGCCTACCTCTACCTCCCCAGTGCTGGGACTAAAGGCGTGCACCACCACCACCTGGCCTGATTTTGCATATGCTTTTGCTTGACTCTCCCAGTAGGCTGCAGGCTCCCCAAAGGCAAGACTCGGCGCTAGCTTCACTGTGGAGTCACCAGCAGCCCCTTTACAAGGACTGGCATGTAACAAGCATTCTGTCTGCCAAAGAAACTCGGTGAAGGCACCTGTGGCACTGAGCCTCAACGCGGGCTGCCAGTTCCGATAGCTTCCCTTGAAAAAGCTAAGCCCAAATCCAAAGCAGTGCCCAAGCCCCCACCCCGTAGCCTCCAGCTTAATTGACATGGTAGGGAGCTGGCTTCAGCAATTTTAGAAAGCTCTTCGGGGAATTCTTATGCCCCAGATGGACTATGGGGGCCCATTAAGGTATTACCTAAATCTTACACTGGGGAAAAGGTTTCTTAAAACCAGCTTGTAAGAGACTAGGGAAGAAAGCAAATGAACTGATTTGCAAGAACGACAGTGGCCAGGAATGGTATCCCGAGACGGCTGAGGCATACAGACGATACTGGAATCTCTAAGGAGAGGAGAAAGGGATGCAGGATCTTGGGCTGTAAGCATCAGCGAGCTGCAGTGGGCGGCAGCCATGGGCATGGCTTTTCCTTTTCTGCCTCCTTTGTTCTGAAGAACTGACAAGCTCCTAATAGAGAATTGGAAGACAACATTCTCTCTCTCTCTCTCTCTCTCTCTCTCTCTCTCTCTCTCTCTCTCTCTCTCTCTCTCTCCTCTTTCCTCATGGCTCAAGACACAAGCTATGAGTCCCCACCTAGACAGGAAGTAGACATCTCAAAGATGGCCTCATGTGACTTCAGCATGAAGAACCGTGGAGGGCAGAGAAAAGTTGGAGGTGCATGGGGATGAAAGGAAGGAAAAAAGGAGGTTCAGGGAGCGTGGGCAGCACCAATGAGGACAGATTCCTGAGCTGGGCACAAGGGTGAGGGAAATGGGAAGGAACCCAGTGAAGGGAGAAGCCCCTGGGTGTCTCCTAATCGAATGTGACTCATTTAAAACTAACGACCCTAACACAGTCGCTGTTCTGTGAATATTCGTGTTGACTACGCCTATTTAAAGAGTTTGTGCTTTAAAAAAAAAAAAACCCTAAAAGTTTATCTTGACACAATCAGGATTTAGAACTGGGGTCTGAATGAAAGCTACAAATAAAATTAAACATTTCCCAAACTATGGACTTCTGGGTTCCCTGTATGGACTTAAAGAGAATGAGGTAGTTTATGCTTTGTGAGCCCTGTTTACCCCTAAAGGCTGCCACCTGTCTGTCCTTCTGATCCTCATTTTGTACAGCTTCTTTTTAACGACTGACAATTTTTGCTGTTAAAATGAGGACTGGGGTTTCAGAAGCTGACTTCTCTGTGAACTCTGGGCCTTTGCAAGAGACTGCTGTGGACACGGCTCCTGCCCTTCTCCCTCTGCCCCCACCCCACCCCCGTCAGTGATTCACCACGCTTTATCAAATACCTGCACTTCCAAGTGCAATATGAATTAAGATACAGCGTGAGCTCGGGACTGATTGTTCCTGTGTGCATTTGTGTGCCCAGGTTCTCCTTACATCACACTTGGCTGGAGGCCAAGGTCAGATCTGGGACTTGGATCGAACCCAGCATTCTTGGAGACGTCTTGCTTTTCAGACACTGCTAGTTAGGCCGTCCATCAGTTTGTCTCCACATGGGCTTCTCTTCTGAATTCCACCCAGAGAGGGTGCAGTAGGTACCCGGGTCTGTAGAAGCGTAAGTGTCTCTCCACAACCAGCTTTTCTGTCCTCTACTTTATGAGGCTGGGTCAAGATCGCCACACTTGTTTTGTCTCATCAGCTGGTTAGTTAACTTCTGCTCAGAATGACTAGGGAAGGCCTGCTCTTTCCAGATGGCCTGGAACTCCTAGCAGCAAGGCCATGGGATCAGTACTTTCCCACTGGTAGCAGTTGGGACTTTTGGCATCATCCCACACTTCCAGAATCCTCTGCTAGTGTTCTGAAGAGAGGCAGTGGCAGCTCTTTGAGGTCTTTGAGACACAGTGCCCTCAGGGCCCCTCTATTTCAGGTCAGTTAAAGAAGTCTTCAGGTTCTTCCCCCAACCCCAGGAATGGTAGGTACTTCCAGAAATTACCCTCTGAGCTACCTCAGACCACCACTGTGGCCTTTCAGTTCTCCAACCCCTTCTTAGGCAATTCCCTCTGGCACAGCAGTTTTTAATTTGTGGCTCAAGTCCCCCTCGGAGGTTGAACGACCCTCTCATAGGGGTTGCCTAAGACCATCAGAAAACAGATATTTACATTACGATCCATAACAGTAGAAAATTTATAGTTATGAAGTAGCAACAAAAATAATTTTATGGTGGGGGACATCACAACATGAGGAACTGTATTAAGGGGCCAAAGTACTAGGAAGGTTGAGAACCGCTGTTCTAAGGGCACCTTGAGGTTGCACAGAAGGGCTTCACCTGCAGGACCAGCTGAAGTACAGCTGTGTGTCCACCCCCAACATCTCCCATTTCGTCACTCTGGGACTGTGTTCTCAGAATCATTGTGCTGACAGGTTCCCAGGTAACATGGATGCTGTTCACCCGGGGATCCTGCCTGAGCCGCAGCCCTGCTTTAGACCTCTGTTGAGGGCTTAGAGGTTAAGAGCATTGAGTTCAATTCCTAGCAACCACATGGTGGCTCACAAACATCTGTAGTGAGTGAGAGCTGATGCCCTCTTCTGGTGTGCAGGTATATATGCAGATAGAATACTCAAAACAAATAAATCTTCTTAAAAAAATCAAATCTCTGTTGAAATCAGCCTCGTTTGTCTACTACCTAGATACTTATAGACTCACTGACTGACTACCAGTTCAGTTTAGGATGTTTAGTGAGTGACACAATCCCCAAATGTTTACCCCTTGTCCTTCCTGTGAGACTGAGTTGCTATCTCGGCTTGCATATCCCACCTTGAGACTGTATCTTTTTCATCTCAGTTCAAAACCAGTCTTTTGCCATATTCCTGCCTGTTGCTCTCCAGCACAGGTTCTCCTGCCTCTACAGTCTGCATTGCTAATTTTGTCCCAGTAGGGTCCTTATTTCTCTCACCTATGCATGTGAGGGTTGTTGTTGTTGTTTAAACAATATACAGCAAGCTTCAAGTTAGCCGCTCTTGCCAGAGATAGGTGGGAACTCCTTGGACTGCCCTCATAGAGTGCTCATTCCTGTGATAAAGTTGTGTTGTGGAGGAAATGTTAGCAGGATCCCTACTGGGGAGTGATCTCTTTTAGTTGGGTGAACATTTGGTTAACAAGGTGAGAGCCGGGAGCAGCAAGTACACTGCCTTCTGAAACCTATCAGCCCTTGTTGATTACAGGGCTCCCTTTTCTGGGCAGGCACCTGGACAAGTTGGTGCTGGAGCTGGATGGTGTGGGAGAAGGGAGCAGTGTCAAGAGGAACGAGTCTGTGCTGGCTGCCTCAGAGCTAGCTGCCAAGGGCAGCTTCAAAGGAGAACAAAATTGTCCAGCAGGGACTTCCATTAGATTTTTTGGCTGGTATGAGCTGTAGTCTCCCGGAAATCATCAGTAGAACATAATAGAATGTTGAACTGATCTGTAAGTTTGGAATGGTGTAAAAACCAGAGGCCTCCTATTGAATGATAGTCACACATGAATTATGTAAATAGATTTCATTTTCTCATCTTTCTTTTCTTCTTTCAAAAAAATGTATGAGAGGCGCCTCTGGCACTGACTAGATTTTACACCTTTTTCATCAGCTCAGTTTTGAAGTGGAATGCGTCTATCAAAACATTAGGTGGAGAGTGTATCCTTTGTATCCTTTCCCGGATGTAACCAGCATTAGCCAACATGAAGCAGTGGCAGTCCTCAATGTGGTCATTCATCTGTGGGTGCCTTTATCATTTTATGATGAAAATTTCTCATTCTCTCATTATGAATAAATAAATGCACACTAGTGAACACTTGGAAATATTGATAACTGGGGTGGGCGGTGATGGCTCAAGCCTTTAATACCAGCACTTGGGAGGCAGAGGCAGGTGGATCTCAGTGAGTTTGAGGCCAGCTTGGTCTATAAAGCAAGTTCCAGGACAGCCAGGACTGTTACATAGAGAAACCTTGTCTCAACAAACCTATATTTTTAGGAAAAAAAATTAATAACCATGAGCAAAATTAAGACCATCCATAGCTCCAATCTTCGGAGATAACCACAACTAGCAAAGTATCCCTATCCATCACTCATATATAAATATAGCTTTTGTATTAGTGTGTGTGTGCATGAAAGAGTATACAGCTATATATAAGCAATTCCATCAATTTTTATATGTATATTTTCTGTATTTATAGTCCAACAGGTTCATAATATTTGTAAAATATTACTACTGTTTTCATTTAACAACTTGATACAAGCGTTAGCCTTTTTTTACATCTTCAAAATTACAATGTAAAGATTGTATTCATTCATATAGACTACTGCAATGTATACAGTGAATTCCATATTGTTAGATAATTATAGTATTTCTCCATTATTTGCTGTCATATATAATACAACAGGAATATTACTGTACACATGGCATAACTACATTTAGGTAGAGCGTCTTTTGACACATTGAAGAAGCACTTAGACTTTGGAGGTAGAATTTTATACTTGCCTGAAATGAAACTCACGAGATATAGCCCTAGTGGGCCATGCAGCGTTTCAAAGGGCTTGCCGAAAGCATTGTACATGAAGAAGGCTGTCCCCACCATAGTTAAGACGACCAGAATCATGGAGAATAGAATGATATTGACGTGGATGCTCACGGGGATGGCTTGAAGCAAATCTGGGAAGACTGAGAATAAAAAGAGGATGAGAAGAATTTTATGATCACTTCTCTGCAGGTATAACTAAAAATTTAAATCCCTATTCTTTCCCCTGCTTTCAAAAGTCATTTTGATGAATACATTTTTTTCCCTCACTTTTACCCAAAGATTTAAAGATGGGACCATTTCATAGAATTCACCAGTAAAATATGGCACTTGGGAAGTCCGGGAGAGTCTTCGGTCCTTGATTATTCTCAAGTGATGGATTAATAGCTCAAAACTGTACGTTTTTTTATGACCCAAGTTTCAATGATAGTTATCCATAATCACTTTTTAAAATAATCCAAATTTTATAATATTTTAAATTTGAATGCACCTGGGAGAATTCCAACACCAGGAGGTTTTTATCCCACCTCTGTGTGCTATAATATAAAAATTGGTTTCTAGGTTACAACAATAGTAGAGAATTGGAAAATTTCAGTCAGCTTCAATATTTTGATGTAGCACAAAGCTGTGGGAAAATTATTTCTGGTACTACAAGAAATATTTTCCGGGTTTAGTAAACATGCCCAATCTATTTCTAGATTCTGTATTCAGGGCAAGTTATCCTTGCCCGCTCAGGAGATGAAAAACCTTACAGATGTCAGCTACCTCTGCATCAGCATGCCCGCCTTCAGCAACTCTGGACAACAAAGGGAAGAGCAGTCCAACGCATTTCCGTTTCCCTGGCATCGAGCCGAGGCTTAACGTATTTATTGAGGTCCTACTATGTGTCAGCCACTGTTTTGGGAGCTGGAGATAGAGCCATAAAAGAAGACAGAGAAAGACCCAGATGTCTCCTGCAGAGCCTGGACCCTAATGAGAGTTACACAGAGAACTGGCAAGTGAGCAAGCAAATCCAATTGCTTATTTTCAAAGCCGTTCACTGTGGTTGTCTCCCTGGACACGGGCGTCACTTCCCCTTTAAGAGGAAGAGTTATTTCTTCAGTGCCCTTCAGGAGTAAGGACATCCCATAGCTTAGTTGCCTTTAATCGTCCTGTGATAAAACTGCATCTGCTAAGTCCAAAACATTTAGCACTGACCCCTGTTAGTGGGAGCGAAGGGAAAGGGAGCCCCTTGTGCGCTTCTCTTGAGAGTAAAAGTAGAAAACCCTCCTTGGCGCTGGGCAGTGTCTATAAAGCCCCGAAATGTCCACACCCTTTAGTTCAACAACTTTCCTTATTTACAAGAGCCTCTCTTAGGCCTATTTAGGCATATGAGACCAGCGAAGTATTGTAAACATAGTCATTGCTGAATCTTTGGTTTGGAAAGAGCTCGCAAGTCTAACAATAGCGCACACAATCCTCTGCAATGGGATTTCACAGAGATCAGAGCAATTCTATAGGAACAGATGTGGAATTATCATCAAAATGCGATGCTAGATAGAAAGAAACAAACCACATAGAGGGAAACGTCCGTTTTATCCTGTCACTTGTGACGGGTGCAGAGGGCTGTGTTTATAATGATTGTTTAGTACTCCGCCCTCCGGACTGAATTCTCTTTACAGCTGAGACGGGCATATTATTATATTATTAAAAACTGAGGCACAAGGGGCTGGGGAGATACCTGGGGGAGTAAGAATACCTGCTCTGCAAGCATGAGGACCTGAGTTCAAGTCCCCAGTTCCCATGTAAAAAGTAGGGCATACCGAGCATTGAAAGACGGAGTCGGGGAGGCCCCAAGAGCTCACTGGCCAGTCAGCCAGCCTAGTAAAAATGGTGAGTTTTCCCTTCAGAGAGGGAGACCCTGCATTTTCTTAACTTTTTTTTTTTTTGTATTTTTATTCCAACCAGTAAGCTGGACCAGAGAGTTTTATTGGGGTTACTTAGAAGGATATGGGTGAGAGATTACTTAGAGGAATAGAAACGACTCAAAGACAGCTGTATTATTAAAGCCCACCCCAGCATGGGTGACAGCTCACAAAAGCTGGAAACTTGGAGCATCCTGCCCAGCCTGCAGGCAGATCAACGGGTCGGAGAGTCCTTTCCATGGGACTCTGGTATAAACTTCTTTCAGGCATCCTGACTGGTTTGTGCTTCTTCCGGGAAGTTGGTCTGGTCTCAGAGTCTTCTTTGCAGCTTTTATTGCTTACTCTGGCAGGAAGGAGCCTAGTGAATCTGCCCAGTTTCAGGGGTCTCCTGAAGCTGGCTTGAGTTGTTTGCTTTCCTGAAGGATGGAATGTTTCAATGTGGGAGGGAACTGTTATACATCAGTGGGTTTGCTAGGCGGCCCCAGGATCTGATTGTCTCCTCTTCCCCAGCCCTGGGATTTTAAACTAAACCACCTGTAGTTTATTTAGTCATTATCTGTTAGCATGGAATCTAGCGATCAGAGCCAGGTTTGCATTCTTGCACGGGAAGTACTTTACTGACTGAACCATCTCCCCTAATCCTTGGTATCTATTTTGAAGTTTTTATATGCAGTAATGTTTGGAGCCAAGGTTATTTTGCTTGTCTGCACATGACTGTACCCGGCTGTTCCAGAACCTAGCTTGATTTAGATTACCAATGCACACCATTCCTATTCTTAGGAACTCACCTCAGAGAACGTGAAAACACCCTTCACCCGAACCTGTATGCAGATGTTTATATGACTTCGTATTCACCCATACTGAAATCTATTACATAGCATCGATGGGCAGATGGCTGAGCAAGGTGTGCATATCCATAGAATAACCTGTAAGTCAGCGGCAGAAAGAAGCAGACAGCTGCTGCACACACTAGCCCAGATGGATCGGAAACGAGGACTAGCAACTGGTCTTTGGGTTCACCCTTCTCCTGGCAGAGTGAAGGCATCTAAGTCCCAGAAAAGAAGGGGCAGGGAAGAAAGTCCAGATAGAGCTGACATGCAAAGAGAGGCTGCCATCCCCTTGTTCCTGGAGCCTGCTGTTAGGAAACAGAGCGGGGTAGTCATCAGTTATGACTTGCAGTGCAAACACAGGCACAGGGACGCACTCTGTGGGAAATGCGCTCTCATGCAATCATTTCATAGGGTCTCTGCCTCTTGAACTCTGTCTCCTGCCAAGATGGAGACACTCCAGCCTTCTAATCTCTGCACAGACAAGCCTGTGAAGGCCTTTGCGGTCTTTCCTGCGCCTGTCCCTGTCAGGTGTTCCAACACGATTTTATTGTTTATTGGTTATTTAGTTATTTACTTGAGACGTGGTCTCTATACAGTGCAGGCTGACCTTGAACCTACTGAGTAACCAGGCTAGTCTTAAACTCAAATTCATCCTGCTCAGTCTCCCAAATCCTGGGATGACGGGCCTGTACCAACACACCTGGCATCCCATATTCTTAGGCACCTCTCACTCCCCCTTTTGTCTTATGTACCTGGGTTATGAAGGGCTCATAAGAGTCTAGCCAGCAAAACTCTCGTTTCTCAGAGGAAGTGGAGATATTAGAAGTTCTTTCAAGTTTTCAATCCTTACATCATACACCCATGTGTTGTGGCTTGAAGGAGAATGACCCCCATAGGCTCATATGTTTGAATGACTGTTCCCGTGTTGGCAGACGGTTTAGGAAGGATTAAGGGGCGTGGCCCTGTTAGAGGAGGTGTGCCATTAGGGGTGGGCTTTGAGGTTTCCAAAGTCCGCGCCCTTTTCAGTTATCTCTCTCTGCCTCGTGCTTGTAGTTCAGATGTAAGCTTTCAGCTACTGCTCCAACACCATATCTGCCTACCTGTTGCCATGCGCCCTGCCATGATGGTCATGGACTAGAAGCCTCTAGAACCATAAATTTCAATTTCATGCTTTCTTTTATAAGTTGCCTTGGTCATGGTGCTTTGTCAGGGCTATAGAAAAGTAACTAAGGCACCATCATTTCTCTGTGTCTAGCCAAAACCTCCCTTTGTTCTTTGTGAAAGGAATGAAGCCTTTTCTCTGTGCTCTTAGACACTTTCTGCCTTCTCTAGCCTACCTCTCCCACCATCTTCAGCCTTTTGTTCTGTCCTTCTGTCTGCTCACACACAAACAGTCACACACGCGCACCCTAGCCTGACCTAAGGGAATCTACCATTTCCTAATTGTAGTGATATTTTGTTTGTAATTAGATTACAAATAAAGTTTGTCTGAAGATCAGAGGGCAGAGCTAAGCCACTAGTTAGCCACAGAGGCCGGGCAGTGTAGCACATACCATTAATCCCAGCACTTGGGAGACAGAGGCAGATGGATTTCTGTGCATTCAAGGCCACCCTGTGCTACACGAGATTGACTCTGCCTAAAAGAGAAACAGAGCTCACCCAATGGTGATCCTAACACTTGGATTCACAGGCCTTTAAGCCCAGCACTGGGGAGGTGGAGACAGGAGTGATGTGGCTGGGCAGAGAGAGGACTGCAAGGTGGGAGGAGACGGGAACTCAGATGTAGTCTGAGGATTTGTAGAGACGGAGAAGTCTGAGGATCTGGTCTGTGCATGCAGTCCGAGGATTCCATCTGTACATACAGTCTGAGGTTTCATAGAGACAGCAGCAGTCTGAGGATTCAAAGAGATGGAAATTCCCCTTTGGCCTGAGCACTGATAGAGGTAAGAACTCTAGTGACTGACAGACAGCTTTGCTTCTCCACTCTTTCAGCATTAACCCCTATATCTGACTCCGGGTTTTTATCATTAAGAACAATTAGAATTCGTGCTACAGCTATTCTCAGTGTTTCCCTTTATACCTAGTCCTTATGCCAGTGTCTGTTCTTCCAGTTCCCATTTCAACTCCTGCAACGGCCTGCCTTCGCCACTCCATCAATGGCTTCTTTGAAAAAAAAAAAAAAAAAACAACTCTTGTGCCTTCCTGGTTGTGAGCCTCAGCGAACCATATTCACCTTTTCTCCCTTGCCATCTATTGCAGAATATTCCTTTATACTCTGTGAAGATGTGCCAGGGTGGATGGCTTAATAAAGAGTTAAATGGCCTATAGCTAGGCAGGAAGAGGTTAGGCGGGACTTCTGGGTACAGGGGGGACTCAGGAAAGAAGAAAGGCAGTGTTGCCAGCTGGACG